AATGGATATGCTCAAAGGATATGACAGTTGGTGCGAATGACAGACTTTAACAGGACCAGTAAGCCATTATAGCATCCTTTGTGTAGAATGTAGGAACGCTACTGGTGGACACTCTGAACTTGGCTTCCTTACAATTTCTGTGTCTTCTGCCTTGGTGATGGGGATTAGAAATCCAAGTTGACGCTGACTTGGCTGCAATGAGAGATGAAATACACACCAAGCAGTTGCACTGACCATGTACAAATTATGTAACTCTTTGAATCTCAATTTTCTTATACAGGATATGGGAATAACATCTGCTCATGAGACGTTTTGAGGATTGCATTTTGCCTCACAAAAATGACTGGCACATGACCTACTCAATAAATCTTCATAAAAATCAATCGTGATATAACACTTTTCTAGCATAAAATTCTAGTTAATAACCCCCATTTAAATGAACGTAAGTACCTAAAGTACTTTGTTGAAAGATTGTTTCATAGAGAGGAATCCATGTGGCACAATAGAGAGGACACCCAGGGTCTTAACTTCCTCCAGATTAACGCTTGTGGTTTCCTGGGAAGTTTTTAAGCACAGTTCACACTAATGACAGCCATCCATCAGCTATTGAATCCTGTTTAAAAGCTACTTCATTTGATGATTTTTAAGCTTTGGAACTGTCTGGCCCTTTTAAGAAAACAGTAAAATAAAGAAACAGATTTTGAACAAGAGAATTACTAACACTTATACTTCCAAAACTATGGTTTTTCTTTTTAGGAGGCAATTCAGAGCTGGAGGGCAGACAGAACCAATGCTCAGTAACCAGGCTGCAATCTATGGATCAGAGGAACACGGAGGTAAAAGTAATTAAGACTAATTAAGGACTACCTTGCAACAGGAGAGGTTTACAGAAGAAAAAAAAAAATTACACCTTTCCTTTGAGTAGAAGTCAGGAATAGCTGCAATGGGGCCTGGAAACATGAAAAAGTACCGAAATAGTCTCAAACATGAAAGAACACTAAAAACCTTCCTTTGGAATAAAAGGAAGCTAAATTCTTACTCAGTTTTTATTAGTTATTACTTACAAATACATCCTATGAACTACACTTAGGACTATCCATTTCTTTGACTAAATTGGAAGACAAAAGCAGCTTATCAACATACATATCATTTTCTTCATAAATAATTGTATAAAAAAGCAAAGTCGAATGCACCTTGCTTTCCATCTTGGATTCTAGTTTTTTCTTACCAGAAGAAAACCTGTGAGTGCAGGGAGAAGGGAACACTTACACACTGTTGATAGGAATGTAAACTAGTACAACACCTGTGGAAAACAGCATGACGGTTTCTCAAAGAACTAATGGAACTCCCATTTGACCCAGCAATCCCACTGCTGGCTATCTACCCAAAGGAAAAGAAATCATTCTATTTTCTTAAAGACACCTGCACCCATATGTTTATTGCAGCACTATTCATGATAGAAAAGTCATGGAATCAACCTAAGTGTCCATCAGTGGTGGATTGGATAATGAAAATGTGGTATATATACAACATGGAAAACTAAGCAGCCATGAAAAATAATGAAATCATGTCCTTTGCAGCAACACGGATGGAGCCAGAAGCCATTATCCTAATTGAAACAGCTCAAACAGAAGATCAAATACTGCACGTTCTCACTTTTAAGTGGAAGCTAAACAATGGGTACACATGGATATAAAGATGAAAATAGACACTGCGGACTCCAAAAAGCAGGGAAGGTGGGAAGGGGTGAGGACTAAGAAAAATTACCTGTTGGGCGCAAAGTTCACTATTTGGGTGATGGGTACGCTACAAGCCCAAATCTCACCATTATACAATGTATCTATGTAGCAAACCTGCACATGTACCCCACTGAATCTAAAATTTGAAAACTTTAAAAAACAAAAGAAAACCTATTCTTGGGCACCAAGATATTCCAAACTCCAAACCAATGGCTTTTAACTATAAATGTACATCAGAATCATCTGTGAGCTTTCAAAAGACACACACACACACACACACACACACACAAAACACCCCATACCCACTTGGTTCCCAATTCGAACCATCTGGATCAGAAACTCCTAGGGTAAGCATGGTCCAGGAATGTGTATTACATGTTAAGTATCCAGAGATGCTAATATGTACCTCCCATCATAACCACAAGCCATCACCATTCCACTGGTGGCAGCTTCCGAAATTGCAGATATTATCCACCAAAGAAGAGTTAATGCAACATACTCCCTCTCATGATCCAGCTGAGAGCCTCCACAGTTTCACTTTACAGTCTCTGATAAACTATCTCGGACAATTATAACCTATATTATTTTAAATAAAAGTCTGTTTACATACTGAACATTTCCAAAAATAGGAAACAGGATTTGCCCAATAATGATTTATTGTATACTCATCAAGACTAGATTCTAATATTGAAGTCATTAGAGCCTCTTTCCCAATGTTCTACATCATCTGTACTTTTGGCAGAATGAACCACAGATGACAAAATTATCTCTTCCTTACAGGCCATTATCTCCTGCTTGGGGATTGGTCAATAAATAACTAGCAATTGGGCATCTATTATAACAGGGCCCTCTCCAGGTGCTATACTTTCAACTTAATCTGGGTTTTTAAGAAAGTTAAAATGCAATTTGAAAGTCAACCCATGAGAAAATAAGCAACAGAAACAAAGGACAAGATATAAGAGTTTGAAGTCAAACTTAGATAAAGGAGGGAAGCTGTTGGCTGAGCTTATCAGAGAAGAATTTGTGGAAGATGTCTGAGCTTGGTCCTAGGAAATAGCGATAATGAGGTTGGTAGAAAAACTTTGAAAAGAACACTTGAACTCAATTTGTAGTTCAAGAAATATTCATTGGAGATCTGCTACATAATCAATCCATATTGACTAATATGGTAGAAGACAAAGATGATGGGCACCCAGCCCTGTTCCTGAAAGGTTCATACTAACTCACAGCGGAGTACAAGTATTCATCATCTACACACATAGCTGTTGGAAAAACATGGCAGGCTTCATGGAGGTGGTGGCTTTTTTAGATAGGTCTTAATATAAAGGAATTTAACAAGAAGAATATGAGGAAAATGATTTTCTAAGGCAATGAAGCAGGCTGTATCTGAGGAATTAATGTATTTAATTTTCCCCAAATTGTATTGCATTTATTTGCATATCAAATGCATTGTTTATATATTTACATAAAGAATATACATCCCTGAAAAGGAAAATATTCCTATTTTTATTTTAATTATTCAGGTAGATAGATAACCAATGCCTCATAGGCAAATTAGCCGCATGTTCACAACAGCTGTTTGCACCCATGTTCCTCCAAAGAGGGAAGAAAACATTGAAAAAACAGGATCATTGACTTGCCTTCAATTCTATGTCTCAACACATGCAATTCTGACTTAGAATTCTGTGTTTATATCCAATTGCACCACAAAGCTTGCATTTATGGAAATATAAGATAAAAATAAAGGCACTGGGAAGTGTTTGGGAAACATGACATATGTTAGCTTATAACTTGGGGAGTATATGGCAGAGGCAGAATTCATTTCAATATCAAGTCTGTCGTCACCATTGAGAAAGAAAGGTTTGATGGACTACACAAATCAGTGTTTATTTGTATTGAACGGTGTCCTAGCTTTCAAGGCATTTTTAAAATATATTTATATCCTTTCATATTCTGAAAAATTCATTGTTACTCACATTATATAGATAAGAAAGTAAATGCAAGGAAAGCCCATTATCTCACAACTAAGTTGGTACCCAGCTTCAATTTCTAGTTAACTACTAATAAAATGAAGCTTTATTGACTCTTCATTTAACACTGTGATGTTCTGCCCTTGTCTCTGTGCCAGATCCACAACTTCACCTTTGAAACAACTGCCTTTGAAACAACATGCCTAACATATTCTAAGGTTAAAAGGGAACTTAGAGTGTATTTTAGAAATACTCAGAGGGTTTGATGGATGTTAAAAGGCTCTCATAAAATAACATCTTGATACGAGTTAATTGTGAATTAATGAAAAACATGTGAATCTTAATACAGTCAAATAACTCATTGGTTCAAAAAAATAAAGCAGATCTGCTTAGCAGAAAACATGCTGCCAACTCCCAGATATTTAAGCAATAAATCATGACAGTCTAAATCCAACACATGCTGGATAGGTCTATCTCTGTGCATAAGTTTAAAGAAGGCATTTTTGTGAGTGCTAAACAACCAGTCTCCCAAAAATCAGCCAAGCATTTGGAGATTATATTCCACTGCCCCATTAATGCTGTAAAGAAGTCCATGGAATGACAAAGTTCTCTGAAAAGGGTACCTGAATCACCTGGGAAGCAGACTCCCAAAGCCAGTGAACTCTGGCATTTATTAGATTAGTCCACTTTCTGGTCTGCAGCAGCTTGAAGTAAAGAAAGGACTATGTTGGTTTCAGTTTTTCTGAAAACCCTGATCCTCCCCCAAAGGAAGGCCCTTCACAGTGAACTCATTCAAGTCCAAATTTAAATTCTGATTCAGCCCAGATGTCATCAATAATCGTGGTCAACTCCCACTGGACATTAAAAATTGTCACCCTCAGAGACAAACACATTACAGCTTCCAAAATGGATTAGGGCATTTGAGGTTTCTCTATTTTTAGATTATACCCTACATCATTTCGTGCTTTGAAAGTCTGAAAGGTCACCAATATCTTTTTTTTTTTTTTGGCTTTGAAATTAATAATAAAAAATAATAATAGAGAGTAGTATCATAGAAGTATTTGTGAAAAGAATATTCAGAAAGTAGCATTTTAAAGATTTCCCTGCCACAGTTTGCCAGCTCTAATGATGAGTGAGGTGAGTTTGGAGTTAAGAAAGTCACCTGGGTTAGAACCCTATTTAAGCAACAGACTCAACTCAAACTAAACCAAAAAGGAAACCATTATGTTTACTGGGGTAGGCTCAGCATTGAAGAAAGCTGCCAGAGCCAGCACCCCCAGGAACTCCTTACCTCCTGGATTCTGTCTCCATTCGCCTCTCATCCCTGCTTCTCTTCATATGTTGGCTTGACTCTCTTCTGTAAGTTAGCCTTCTCTGCTAACAGGAGACATGGTTGCTGGCAGCCTCAGCCTTGTACCACCCCATGAATCACAGGGAAGGATGCTCATTGGTTCTGCTTGTATCACATGCCCAACTTACGTCCCACGGATGAGAGAGTGTTAGTAGCTACACCTGGTACCCATACACAGCCAGAGATGGTGGGCTTGTGACTAGAGAAAGGACAGTGGGAGGGCTTTCTTGGCAGACTAAAAATAATAATAGTAACAATGATGGCTCTACAATTTTACTGTCTTCTACAATGGCCTGATAGATTGTGGAGGCTAAAGGTGTGCCTACTCGAGGGGAACGTTGTGGAAATGTTCTTTCCTCCTTATTACTTGTCAGAGAAGTAATCTTTCTCTAAAGCCAATGTTACAGTGAAGCCCCCCAGATAATTTAGCTGCTATTAACATATTTGGATATGAAGCCACTGGCTGCTGTATATCCCTAACCTAGGGGTCGACTTGACATGGCTTTTGCTCTTGCTGGATATAATAGAATCCCACATTTTACACATTTTTTGGACTCTCATAAGTGGTCCTATATGCTGGGATTTTATATATGCAGAGCAAATTCTTGGGTTTCTGACCTAAGGCAAATCGCTCTTCCTTAAATAATCACCAATCTCTCTCACCTGTACTTTGATAAAAAGATGGAAATCCTCAAATGAGGTAGTTCTCAAAAGTGGGCCCTAATCATTACCAGTATCACCTGGAAATGCAAATTGCTGAGTTCCACCCAAGATCTCCTAGTGGAGATTCTGAGGCTGGTGCCCAGCAATCTGTTTTAATGAGCTCTCGAGGTGATAACAAGTACACTGAAATTTGGGAACCACTGTTTTGTATTTATCACTGACACCAGCACAATCGAATGTGGGAAATGTGAGGAAATTCTCTCTTTCCAAAAGAGACAGATATGCTCCAAGGACATTGAAGTATCGGATGAGTCAAAGAATTTCCAAAATGATGCCTGAAAATAGAATGTTTTGTGAATGGGACTCATGTCTGGGAATGAGGTAAAAAAGGGTCATAAAATAAAGGCTATGCATAGACAAATTATTCTATGTTCTTACCAAGATATGAGTATAACTCAATAAATCAGTCCAATTCTGTGCATCAGAAAGAGAGGGGGACAGAGAGAGGAGAAGAGATAATGGAGGAGGAAGAGTGGAAAGAGGGGGAGGAGGAGGAGGAAGTTTGACTATGGCTATGTTTTGGTTGGCTTTGCCCATTGGATTGCAAAGTAACTCAGAAGTTAAGCATGATAAATAATAATATTAGCTAATGTTTAAGAAGGAAGGGGGAAGATCTGGTAAATGAGGACAGAAGCAAGGTAAACTATAAGTGATATAACAACGAAGAAAGTGCCATCCTACAGAGAAAGATCAAGGACAGAACAGAAAACAAAGCTGCATGTTATCATTACTATTTTTTAAAGTGTTATGTGAAAAAGAATTGAAAAATAGTATAATGAATAGCATTGTAGATCAGATGAATGATTGTTTTTCTTAAAATTGACTCTAATACCAATGTATTTCCTTGTTAAGGTATGCTGGCTGAGGGGTACTGGTGTTTGTCTCAGAAGGTGCTCTGATTGAGAGATTCTCTGTTCTTAGTTCTTATTAGAACTAATAAGTTCTATGATCATGTCCTGCAGGGCCTAGCGGTGCCAGGAGGCTGTGCAGCACATTATTGTTGCTTCATGTTGAACAACTCTACACAGGTATGGGTTCATCCAGTTTGTCAGGTGTCGCTAATGTGATCGGTGAATCTGACTGATGTGAATGCATTCCAAAAGCCTGGCAGAATTTTGTAGAAAGAGCTAAGTTGCACATCCATGTTTTTAAACCATTTTGTTTAAAATGGAGGAGATCGGTTGCGGTGGCTCATATCTATAATCCCTGCATTTTGGGAGGCCGAAGTGGGAGGATGGATTAAGCACAGGAGTTTGAGACCAGACTGGGAGATGTTGTGAGACTCTGTCTCTACCAAAAATATAAAAATTAGCTTGGCATGTTGGCACAGCTGTAGTCCCAGCTACTCGGGAGACTGAGGTAAGAGGATCGCTTGAGCCCAGGAGTTCAAGGCTCTAGTGAGCAATGTGTGTACCACTGCACTCCAGCCTGTGTCAAAGCAAGAACCTGTCTCAATGAATCGATCGATTAACCAATCAATAAAAGGTAGGGGATACATCTCACATCATTTGAAACTTCCAAGTCATATTTATATAACCAATGGTGTGGTCAGCTTAGATACGAATATTGGTATTAGGAGGAAGAATATGTAGCAAAGACATGGAAAGGATAAAATAAAAGGGTTCACAAGGAAATCCTGTTATACTCTATACACTAGAGTCACATAATAAGATGTTGCTGACAATGGAACAACATTAGGAAAATAATATGCAGAATGTGAACAATCAAGCAAATGTCAAGTGCAGAGGGCCAACCCCTATAAAGAATAAATAATTGGTGAAGCATTTATTTCTTTAGTACCCAAGGGGAAAATAAATAGAAATGGAAGAAATAGAACTTGTTCAAAAGTGGCTTGGCAGTCTGAAGAACAGCTGGATTTAATTTAGCTTTCCCAAGAAAAGAGAGGGATTTGGAATTAATCCAACTTGACTGTTCAGATTAACTCAGCTTTTATACACTCATTCATTCATCAACAAACCTCCACCAAGTGGCTGCCACACACCAGACAGACAATGTGCTAGGCCCTAGGGAAGCCTGTCCCCATGCCTCTTCTGGGCTCCTCTCTGCCTCTTCCCATCCTTTCATTTTGACACACTAACTCTTCCCTGAGGAGAAAGTATGCAGCCACATTCCACACTATTCACTTGTCAGACCACCTAGGATAATCTGAATAAACATAACCTAAAAAGTTCAATTTGTAATGCATCAGTTGGAACCAAGTTCTTAGTCAATCACAAAGTAAGTCTCAAGAGATTACTTCTACTTCTACTTTTGACCTAGTCCTGGAGAAGGCTCTAAAATATTAAAAGGGAGTTTAAAAAGTCCAGTGCCTGCCATTGAAATGCCTCCTGTCTACAATTTAAGCAACTGAAGAATACAAGATCATTTAAAATGAAGAAGCAAAAAAATGATAGCCTAGTAAATGAAATATTAGAGGCTGGGTCTGGTGGCTCATGCCTATAATTTCAGTCCTTCAGAAGGCCAAAGTGAGATGCCAGGAATTAAAGAACAACCTGGGCAACATAGCAAGATGCTGTCTCTAAAACAAATTAGCCAGGCATGGTGATGTGTGCTTGTAGTACTAGCTACTTGGGAGGCTGAGGCAGGAGGATCTCTTGGGCCCTGGAATTCAAGGTTGCAGTGAGCTATGATCACACCACTGCACTCCAGCCTGGGCAACAGAGTAAGAACCTGCTTCAAAAATAAAATAAAATAAATATTAGAGAGAAGAAAGACAAAATACATACATCTTTGCCTATCTTTCCTAGCTAGTTTGACATTGCAAGAACTGAAAGAGAAAGCACCAGGCACATGGGGGTTATCAATGCCATTCGTCAAAAGCAATCATCGGCAGTTAGTATCTACTCTTCTCTGGTATTTGTGTAATGTCTTCCAGGATGTTGGGCATATATGAATCAGGTGTCTTCTTTCTATGCAGTGGTGTTGAGACATCTCTGCATCTGGCTATTTCAGATACTCAAGCAGTGTGACTGTGGAGTCTTGATAAATTTACAGCATTCTGGCCTTTTCAGAAGCAAGTGAGTTTTATTCCAGCAGATTCAGTGTATAAAGAGAGCTGCCTCCTGTGCCCATGCATAGACCCTAGAGAGCTACCTTCCCCCACCCATAGTGATGCCTTTAAGTTTGAGCATATATCCACATAATCAAAAGCTATAAACAAAGAATCAAAGCTGGTGAGGAGACCCCAGCCTGACTCAAAGGCTTAGGTAGCAGCCAGTAGATTCCTGATGCTTCAGAGAGAAAAAAAAAAAAAAAATAAATAAAAAGTCTCTGGTATGTCTGTCTCTTGTGCCAAGCTAGATTCAAAATCTCAAAGGAAAAAAAAAATTCCTGATTTCATGCAAAAATACATCTAACCTACCCAACCCTTAACTAGGATTTGACAACTCCTATTATGATAGAGTCACAAATAAAAAATTATACTGTCATCTGAAAGAATGCACAATTAGATCCAGATATTGAAGATATAATTATGGTTGATCTCAAAGAGATTAATTTAAAATACCAGGGAAAGATCTGATTGTTATGTTTGGGGTTCCCTGACCCCAAGCCCTACTATGAAACCAAAATGACTCACCTAATTCTCAGATGAGAATCACACTGTGAGTAGAGAAATTCCAGTCTCAATGCTCTGAAGACAAAAATCATAAAAGTATGACTATTAAGAGTTGGAACGACATTAGAGTTTCTACTATATCTACCATAATCTTCTATTTAATGTATCAATTCTCACTACAACATTCTAGAAAAATAGTCATCAAGTTTATTTGAACAAGGAAATGATTATCTTCCAACACAATGTTTACGTGACAGAGAAATCACTGGGTGCCTAAAATGATGTGTATTCCTTGTTGTTTTTTCCTCATCCTAATGATAAATAATCATCGTTTCGTACCTATATGTAGAAGAATAATCTATGCCCCTACATGCCAAGAATTTTGATGCCTTCTTACCCTGCCTTTTCCCAGATTATATGAGCCAGTAAATCCTTCATGTGCCTAGCCTATCCATTCATACTAGATAATGGAGGCGTTTATAGAGAAAAAAAGAATATCACAAGTGTCAAATTAGTATCTACTTTCCAGTTCAAAAGTAACTAAATATTCCATCTATGTTAAGTGAGAACCATTCATATTGATGGCGTGTTGCCTTACATATATATTGTTTTTCTTCATCTTCACATCCACAGAGAAGAGTCATAAAATGAGATGGTTAAAGAACTGGAAAATTCTTTAGGTGTCATCTACTTTGGCCATGCAGAAGAAAATAGATTTAGAAAAGAAATCCTGGGTGAAATGTTTTACAAGGAAGAAACAGAAAGAAAAG